GTTACCCGCGAGTGAAGAATGGACAAGTGGCCGTGAGCTATCCAGCTGCTTCACCTGCTTGGGCGCGCCTATTTAAAGGTCGGCCCGACCTAGTAAGCAGGGGACACGAGAAGTTCTGCCTTGTCCGAACAGAACTTCTTTTCACCGCAAACTTTGATTGCAAATGGTAGCCTAGTTCGTGATCGTCCCATCCGATCAGTCCATCCGAACYGAGTAGTCCATTTTCTAGTCCACCGCGAACCATAGAGTAGTTTCGCCGCGAGCCTTGTCGAGCAGGTTTGGGRAAACTTAGGGTAAGTTTCCCGTGATCGAACCTTACCATTTTCAAAGTGATTTTTTGTCTTGATCATGAATCTAATCTTAGTTTCTTGATTCGATGGCTCGACCGATCTCAAATTCATAGGTTCTACTTCGGCTAAGCTCCAAAAGATCTAGAGAGGGTCTGCAGCAGGTTCTGTTCTAAACTAGGTATGATCCGTGGGCATTCCCATCTACTTTTCCATGCGAAAACTCTAAGTCTTGCCTTGGTTAATTCGTGAACCTTTGGAACATATTCCAGTTCAAAGGCTAAGGCAAAATCGTTCGTAAAAGTCTAAGGCAAACGCCCGTAGAAACTTTTGGCAGAACTGCAATCATTCGTTAAGTCAAAAGTGAGTCTCGGTGATGCTTGTTGCGTGTTTAATTAAATTACAAGTGAGGTTCGTTGCTGCATGATTTATATTTTTGCTAAGTACTTAAAAGCTTTAACATAAGAAAATTACTAATTTGGATTGTTGATGCATATTTATAAGTTTTCTTATAACCTAAGTTGATAGTAAGACTTATAAATTATGATGATCGCGGTAAGACGTTCCCTTGAAAGCCATGATTTAGCTAGTACGTTGTGTATTAGTCTAAGTACATGAAGACACGGAGAGACGGGATTGCAGCCTTTGGCCGTGTACTGCATGACGATGCAGAATTTCCGGTGCGAATCCTTATACACATAAGGCTATTAGAACGGTGAAGGATCTTAAGTCCTTAGCCTATGTGGCTTCGGCGGAAGGATACCTTGTGATTTGACGTGAAGGAAAATAGTCTACGCGAAAGGCCTTATATTGACATTGCATAACTTATCGCATTTTTTTTTGTTAGATTTGCTTGCTTGCGTGTTGATTGTTATTTTAGGTTTGGTTGGGAATTGATTATTGAATGTTAGGGGAGCCTAGGCTCACTGAGCAACTAGTGCTCACGACTCTACTTGTGTTGCAGGTAACCATTAGCGGGTAGACCACCGGGAGCCAAAGGAACGTTAGGAAATTCAGCAGTAGATTTCGTTACCTTTTGTAAATGAATAATGTGTATTATGTAAATGATCGTTTTGGAGTGTTAAACTCACAATTGTATATGCTTGTATCACGTTTAAAACTTATGTATAAATTATATATAAAAAATCGAGTTTGCATAAATTCGGGTTTCATGTGATACTAGTCCTTGTCCGGACGAACTAACCATTGCGTATGTCTCGGGTTGGCAACCCTTGAGATGTATCTAATGGGGATGGACATTTAGAAGTTTTGTCTAGGGAATTTGGATATGTTCCAGGAACCTCTGATCGGACATCCAAGTGTTCGTCAGTAGCGTTTCCGGTCTATAAGTGATCGGAGGCGTTACATCGATGATATCTCAAGATCTAACCGTCGGATTGTGGCGATCAAATTTTCATTTTGAAGCTGAGATCCTCCTCTATCTCCTGATAAAATATGAGCTTGATATGATGATAGGAACTTCTTCGTCTGGAGTGAAACATCTTACGGTCAGGATTTGTCTTTCCTTAAAAAGGCTTGATTTCACTCTTTTAATGCCCAAAATGCTCTAATTTCCTGTATTGACTTCAAAACCCACGAAAATGCTAAAAATAGTATATTAAGTCCAAAATTCATTCATTTCTTTATTAAAAACATATTAAAAATATACAAAAACGGATAAAATATCGTATATCACCCTCGTATCGGTTTGGCGACTGATATGAAAACAAAAATACAGAATGATAAAATGTTCAAGCATGCAAGAGACTCTCTTTATAGGTTGAACCTGATAGCTTGGGCTATCGATCAACTTCTTATTGGACTGCCCCGGTATTTCGTCTTCTCGACCCAAACTCGTCTTAGATTGGTTTCCCTCGATCATCCTCGACCCCGACGTAGATATCAGCTTATCGGCCACTTGTATTGGTTGAGTAACCCATATTCAGTTCTCGATCCGCCATTTTGCATTGTCCCTTCCTTGGCTCCTCTGTGTAGACCCACAGATCTTCCTTGGGATATCGGTCACCTAACTAATAGGTCTGAACGATATACTACTATATTTCATATTTTCTCCTTTTTTCTCCTCCATTGCATCGGATCCATACCCTGAGCTCCTCCAAACTCATCTAGCTTCAAAAGATTCCAAACCACCTGAAATAAGAGAACTAATGCAATTTGT